TGAAGCCTTTAGAAGATAATTAGTCTATGAGGGCTCCAACCTGATGAATTATTTATGTCCATGTTAGGTAGTAGCTAGCAATAAGCAGTGAAATGCAGGCAAGGTCACAAGTGTTCTTTAAATTACTTTAGGGTCTTTCTTTAAACTATTTCCAAGGTAGACAAGAAAGCAAAGGAGGTAGTTAATTTGTAGAAAATAAACAGAAGCAAAAGGAGCTAATTGGGAAATATGATAAGAAAAGGATTAGTGGGACGAACTCCTTGACAGGGTCCATTGATGTTGATGTAAAGCTAGGAATTATGGCCGTAAGTGTCACCAATTGTCTGGGAAGGAAGATTTCTTTGGTAGTGCAGGTGCACTAAGGTAACTTTTGACCATTTATCAACCCCAGTACCCACATTAACAAGGGATTGACTTGTAGATGAAGCCCCCCTAAATAGGATGGCCACCATGACAGTTCTGGAGAGAATGAACTGAGGTCAAAAACTCTACCACATGATGTGAAGCAGGAGTTGACCAGCTGATTGGTAAAGAGTACAGAAGGTGGTACCCAGTTCTCCTGGTAAACATCAAACCGTAATAAAATTGGGGACAGCATTGTTTCCTTTGTCATTCTCTGCTCAGAGTTGGCCCACTCTCTTCCTTGAGAGTGCTTTCTGCTTAAGACTCACTTTACTTTTACTTTACCTTCACCTCACTTTCACTTCTAATAAAGCCCTCTTGCATGACTTTTAGTGTCTGACATTAAATATTCTTTCATTGGAACGCAAGAACCAAGGTTTGGAGTTTTAGCTCCTTTTTACACCCATATAAAAAGATGTGAAGGAATGAGTTTGCCCTTTCCATCCTTTCTGCCATGTCAATTTTTTGTATTTGTCAACGTGACAATATTTATCTCCTCCAGAAAATACAGCAAGAAGGCATCATTTTAGAAGCAGAAAGCAGCCCTCATTAGATACCAAACATGCTGGAGCCTTGATATTGAACTTTCTAGCTTCTGTAACTATGATAAATAAATTTCTATTATTTATAAATTACTCAATCTTTGATATTTTGTTGTAACAACACAAATGTACTAAGACAGAAATACTGAGAGTGGGGTGCTGTTGTAAAAATACCTATAAATGTAGAATCAGCTTTAGAAATGGGTAATGGGTAGAGGCTAGAAGAGTTTGGAGGAACAGGCTAGAAAAAGTTTGTATTGCTGTGAACAGACAGGTGGGGATAATTAAAGGTATATTTATTTTGAATGACCCAATGGGAGACAGGGCAATCAGTCCCAATTAACAAGCAATAGCTAAGTGTCCCTTTCCTCAGTAACTGTTGATGTCAAAGATTATTTGGTCAGCCTCCACCAATGGGCAATGGCCAAATCCTCTTGTGTGTCAGGGATATAAGTTCAGCAGACTGCCTATTCTGTGTGCACCTGCTTTGTTTTTGATTGATGTATGCCCTTCTGCATGTGGAAGTAAAAGTTCTTGCCATGCTGACTGAGATGATTTGTCTCCAAGTGTTTGTTTCAAGTCCTGGGTAGCCAGGACCCCCTATATTTCCAACAGGGGTCAGAAGGAGAGATCTATAGGCAGAGCCTCAATCATCTTAAAGATTATTAAGTGGTTGTGGTCAAAACTTTGGTGGAAATTTGGACAGTAGGGGCCATTCTGATGAGGTCTTAGATGTAAATAAGGAATATATTATTGGAAACTAGAGGAAAAACCATTCATACCAAAAGTAGCAAAGGATTTAGCTGTGTCCTAGTATTTTCTGGAAGACAGCATTTAAAAACATTGAGGATATTTGGAGGATGAATTATCTAGGGGGAGTGTTCAGGGAGTTGCATGGCTTCTCTTAAATGCTTATAGTCAAATGTGAGATGAGGGAAATGATTTAAAGATGGAGTTTATAACCAAAATGTTAGCAAGATATAAAAATTTAGAAAATTTTAGGCTTGACCATATAAAGAATAAAATTTTATGTTCCAAATAAAAAACCAAAAGATGTGGCCAAGAAACCATTTGATAAAGAAATTACTATGGATAAAAGGAAGTCAGGTGCTAATCATCAAGACAATAGAAGAATGACCCTTAAGGCATTTTGGAGATCTTTGAGCTGCCACTCCCATCACAGGCCCAGAGTGCCAGGGTCTTAAGGCAGAATACTTTGAAAAGAAGGACATATCATCTTGGAGCTCTGGACTCTTCTGCCAGGGGCCTTGTCAATTTTCTTCTTCCTGAATTTCAGTGCAATGTTCTTTGAATGCTCCAGCTGTGGCTCATGAGGTCCCATGTGTGGCTTTGACCACCACTCTTCAAGGCATAAAGTGTCAGCTTTGACAGCATCCACATGGTGCTAATTCTGTGGGCATACAAAGTGCAAGAGCTAAGGAGGCATAGCTATCTCTACCTACATTTCAAAGAATGACTCAAAGAACCTCAAAGTCCAGGCCATAAATTGTGGGGTTGGAACTACTGCAGAGAGCCCCCACTAAGTGATGCTTAATGAATCTGTTTATTAAGGGCTGCCATCAAGATCCTAGGCCTGTAGATTATTGGAAATACTGGGGTGCCCCCAAGGAATCAAAGATGTGCTTGGAAGTAGCTCAGCAAGGCAAATTTTACTTCAGCAGAAGGGTTGTTATGCTCGAATTCAGGACCCCCAAAAGACCACCAGAGACTAAGATCAATGTAAGCAGCAAAGAAGCATTTATTGCTAGCTAGCTCAGTCCTCTGAGCACACAGCAATGGTGACACTGAGAGGCCCTGAGCCCAGGGTTTGAAGCAGTTTTACATACTCTTTGGGGAAGGCAGGGACTTCACATACATCATAGCATCTCTTAGCAAATCATCACACACTGTGGGAAAATCAAACAACAACTCTTAGCATTGATTAGCACATTCATTGGCGGGAACAAGTTGGGTAGGGGTTATTGGTTAGTACAGGAGGGGGATTGTTTTGAACTGATTGGTTTAAGTCTCGAGGAAGGCAGGATACGAAGACAAAGACTATTCTCAGGCTTTAAGATTTAATACTGCCAGGCATGGGGACACATGCCTGTAATTCCAGTGGCTTGGAAGGCTGGGGCAGGAAGACCATGAGTTTGAAGCCAACTTCAGCAATTTAGCAAGGATCTAAGCAACTCAGGAGACCCCTGACTCTAAATTAAAAAAAAAAAAGCCTGAGGATGTGGCTCAGTGGTTAAGCATCCCTGAGTTTGATCCCCTATACCAAAATAAATAAATTAATTAAATAAATTTAAGATTTAATGCTGCTTTATCTGTTGGGTTTTGGACTTACATGATACAAGTTCCCCTTTCTTCTTTACTATTGTATGGAAATGTCTGTCCTATACCTCTCCCACTATTATGTTTTGGCAGCACAAAACTTCTTTGGTTTCACAGGATCATAGCTGGAGAGAAATTTGCCTGAAGATTAATAATATCTTGAGTCTTATCCATATGATATTTAGATTACACTTTGGATTTAGTCTTTAAACTTGATCCTGGAATGTGTTAAAACTTTTGGGATTATTGACATGGAATAAATATATTTTTGGTGTGAGAATGGTATGAATTTGGGTGTCAGGGGATAAATGCTAAGGTTTGAATGTGTCCCTTACCAAAATTCAGATGTTGCCAGTGTTTTAAGAGGCAAGGCCTTTAAGAAGTGATTAGATCACTTAAGGGTCTTAATAAAATCGTGATCATGTACATTTAGTATCTTGCCGTCCTACCTTCTCCCAGGTCCTTCAAAATATGTAGTCCCACTAGACAACTGAACCTTCTGGAACCTTGATGTTACACTTTCTAGCCTCCACAAGGGGGGGAAATGAATTTCCATTCTTTATCAACCTCATAGTACTTGGTCTTACCGACTAAGAGGTATTCCTTCCTCTTCAATTTGTTGGAAGAGTTTCAGGACTGTCATTAAACTTTAAATGATTTCTAGAATTCACTCATGAAATTGTCTGGTCCTGAAGTTTTCTTTGATGGGAGGTTTTTGATTACGAGTCTGTATTCTTAATTCTTGATCCGTTCATATTTTCTATTTCTTCATGATTTAGTTTATGTAGGATATAGGATGTCTGTTTCCAGGAATTTATTCATTTCTTCTAAGTTATCCAGTTTGGGGACCTAATTGTTTGTAGTAGTGTCTTATGATCCTTTGTTTTTCTGTGGTATCAGGTATGAAGCCTCCTCTTTGATATATAATTTATTTATTTAATGTTTTCTCTCTTTCTTGATTCTAGTTAAGAGTTTATCAATTTTGTTTATCCTTTCAATAAACAATATTCATCACAAAAGGAATAGACTAAGCCCCTTTCTTTTCTTGTTTTTAAAAAAATTATTTATTTATTTATTTAGTTTTTCTTCGGCAGACACAACATCTTTATTTGTATGTGGTGCTGAGGATCGAACCCAGGCCACACGCATGCCAGGCGAGCGCGCTACCGCTTGAGCCATATCCCCAGCCCCGACTAAGCCCCTTTCCAGAAAAAATATAAAATTACATATATATGTACATGATCAGAAAAGTGAGTTTCCTTTTTTAAATGTGAAACCCAATTTCTAACCAGGAAAATGCTTACTGGCTAAATTTTGAAAACTAATGAATCTCAAGACAAATGCATTTTCTTTTACTAAGCCTTGTGTTCTCAAAATTCTCAAATGGAAAATTGCATATCACTTAAAAACAAATATTAAGAGTCTTGATCATTTAAAAATCATACTATTTTTAACTTTTTCTAAATTGACCAGAAAAGTAATATCTTATTTTTGTTTTCAAGGTTTTATATTAATGGGTAAATTCAATACTTTTTAATAATTTGTCAGGCATTTATATTATCTATTTATGAATTAATTTCTGATTTATACTATCTGCACATTATTTGAAATGTTATTATGCTTATTGATTTTCAGTAGTCATTTAAAAATTCATAAATTTTATCTTTTGTAGTTCCAAAATGGTTCAAATATTTTTGAGATTGTCATTTGTATTTTAAATGTTCATGTTCTTTTAAAAAACCCTTTATATTAAAGTATAGCATTTTAATAAAAGGTGCATATATTACAAGTATACAGGTCAGTAGATTTTCATGAATTCAGCACACTTCTGTAACCAGCATGCAGATAAAATAACATAATCTGACCATCATCCTACAGTCTCCACTATGTCCAATTTTAATGATTATCTCATCTCCTATTTTGATTTTGTTTTCTCACATTTCAATATATTTATCATGTAGAAATAGTACATTTAAAAAAATTTTAGGCACTCTACAGCGGAGACACGCTGTGAATCCTCACCTCAGCTGGAGCTTCAGAGATGGTGGTTCCCCCCCCTCTTTTTTATTGCCTCTCAGGACTCTTCAGCATCTGGAGATCTCATTAACATGTCTTTGTGTGAAGATATGTTGTTTTGTAATTATCGAAAGTGTCACATCAAACTCTCTGGTTATGCCTGGGTCACTGCCTGTTCTCATATCTTCTGTGATCAGCATGGCAGTGGTGAATTTAGTTGTTCACCAGCTATCTGCCCTGCCTGCAACAGTACCCTTTCTGGAAAGCTGGATATTGTCTGCACTGAACTCAGTCCTTCAGAGGAATATAAAGCTATGGTGTTGGCAGGGCTGCCACCAGAGATTGTGTTAGACATTAGCTCCCGAGCACTGGTTTTCTGGACATATCAGGTACATCAGGAACGTCTCTATCAAGAATATAATTTTAGCAAGGCTGAGGGTCATCTGAAACAGATGGAGACAATATATACTCAGCAAATACAGAGCAAAGATGTAGAATTGACCTCTATGAAAGGGAAGGTCACCTCTATGAAGAAAGTGCTAGAAGAATACAAGAAAAAGTTCAGTGACATCCCAGAGAAACGTATGGAGCATAATAGTCAGTATCAAAAGCTCCAAGGTCTCTATGATAGCCTTAGGCTACGGAATATCACTATTGCTAACCAAGAAAGTACTCTTGAACCATCTTTGGTAGCACAGTCTGGTGTTTTTGGCTTCCCATTAGGTAACAGCTCCAAGTTTCCTTTGGACAATACACCAGTTCGAAATCAGGGAGGCGGAGATGGAGATTTTCAGTTTAGACCATTTTTCTGTGGGTTCTCCTACAGCACCTGAAGCCAGCAACAGCTTTTTTAGTTTTGCCTCTCTAGGCCATGAATTAGAGCAGCAACAAGTCTTTAGCAGGGCCTTCAAAGTAAAAAGAATTTAGCTTATTTTATAGAATGTTTGTTGCATTCAGTGATTTCATTTATCATAGAATCTTTATTCTAGGTAAGAGTTGTCAACCTCCCTGTTCTGTTAAGTCTTTAAAGTTCACTTCACATTTCAACTTATAAAAAATTCAGTGGCAGTAGGGGATTGGCATTAATGTCTTGATTTTTTTGTGTGTGTTCCTTTGTTTCTAATATTTAAAGCGTGAAAATTTCATTAATCTCAATTTCTTTGTATACTGTTGAGTTTTCATTCCTGGTGAAAAGGCCACAACATTATTATATGTTCTGTAGATCACTCTGACTTTCTGACTGAGCTGTGTGTGTATGCATTATATGTATGTAAGCACCAGTGTTATATGTTTACATGTTACTTTGGGTCTTGGTATTTATGCATATATATGTATGTAATTATGTCCATTGACATTTTGTTGTATTTGTCAATATATTTAATGAATATTTTGGTTTTGGATAATGGTGGGTGATCTGTGGCTTGTTATTTGGGTATGTGTATTTATTTGTATGTATTTATGTATTTGTACACATATTAACTTGTTTAGAGAAGTATGTTAATGTTAATGAAAGAATAATTTGATGTATGTATTTCAGTCCCTCTTTATATTTAAAAATTGATAAATTTATAAAGTTGATTTTTTTAGGATTTGTTTAAAAATAAAGCTTTTTATTAACAAAAAAATTAAAAAAATTTTTAGTTGTAGATGGACAAATATCTTAATTTTGTTTATTTAGTTTTTTTTTTAATGTGATGCTGAGAATTGAACCCAGTGCCTCACGCTTGCTAGGCAAGTGCTCTACCACTAAGCCACAACCCCAGCCCTAGTACATTTGTTTTTTTACAAATAAATAAATCTCACGTACATTAAAGATATTCCAAGATAAATAGAACCCTAGGATAATTCTATGTTCTCACATATAAACTGGAATTAACGAAATGACCTATTATCAAAACAGCAACATTGATATTTACATAATAATGACTTACAGATGAATACTAACTATCCTAATCCTACTTCCAAAAGAAAACTACTTATTTAAAAAGTTTATATTTACATGTAAATTCCTTGTCTGAATTTGAGTTATCTCAAGGCTGCTGCTGATTCCAGCTTTAAAACCTAAAGTATCCACTTTGAAAGATTAGTTCAATGGTGTTGGCCCTGGGAGGGATCATTGTCTTTATTTTGAATGACACAAAAAGAGTCACTACTTTACATGTATAAACTGTGTCTGTGTTGTACTAACCACATGAGTTTGGGAAATATAAAGCTGACAACTAGCTATTTCTAATACTGAATAGATATTTTACAATTGTTAAACATTCCACATGTCCTCAAAACTAAAAGACAATTTTAATTTCATCTTCAGTATGCTAACATTGTGTATCTAAGAATTTGTTCTTGGGTTCTGTCCCAGAGTGGAAATCTCATCCTTAACCATTATGTTGAGGGTCATTTAAAAGAAGTGCTAATTAATATTTAACTCAGCATTTGATATGATAGGGTAAAGCTAGAAAATGGTGAATAATAACTGCATTGATAAGAAGGATTGGAGAGCTGTATAAATCTGTGCAAATATCCTCATAACCCTGTAATCCCAGTGGCTCAGGAGGCTGGGGCAGGAGGATCACCAGTTCAAAGCCAGCCTCAGCAATGGTGAGGTGCTAAGCAACTCAGTGGGGATGTGGCTCAGTGGTCAAGTGCCACTGAGTTCAATCCCTAGTACCAAAATAAATAGATAAAGTTGAATGCTGTTTGCTGGAGGCTTCACAGAACTCCTTTGGGAGTTCATCAATCCAGGCTAGCCAGCAGAGTTAACCCTGTGTTTTGGTGAAGATCAGGTTGCCTACATGTCTTCATGGGGCCATGGGGACTTCATCAGGGCAGCTTTATTTCTAGGTTGTCCTTCATTGCCGTGAAGATGCTGGAAGACCCCCTTCTCAAGGATAGGGACTACTCCCCTGTTTTGACTTCTAAGACCAGGGATTAGTTTTGCCTGTGTTTGGACTAGAGTATAATAAATAAATACATAAATAATATATATTCACTTCTTTGTATCTGGTTACTTTTTTTGTTTTGTTTTGGTACTGGGGATTGAACCCAGGGATGCTCTATCACTGATCTACATCCCCAGCCCTTTTTTATTTTGAGACAGGGTCTCACTAAATTACTGAGGCTGGTCTTGAACTTGTGATCCTCCTGCCTCAGCCTCCCAAGTCAGTGGTATTTCAGGTGTGCACCACCATGCCTGGCTGTATCTGATTACTTTAAATACAATGCCATGTTTATGAAATTCTTGCAGGTTGTGTAGAGTTTATTTCATTCTCATTACTATATAGTTATCCATGTGTCAATGTACCACATTTCATTTATTGATTCTATTGCTGATGGACATTTGAGAAGTTTCTAGTTGAAAGTTAATTGTGTTATATGAATATTCATGTACACATCTTTTGGTATATATGTATGTATATGCCAGAGTGGTAAATTGCTGCACTATATATAATATGTATATTCTCAATTTTAGGAGATACTGACAAAGAGTTTTTGGAAGAGATTATACTAATTTACACTCCCATCAACAGTGTATAAAATGTTTGGTTGCTTTGCATCTTAATCACTACTTACTAAATCAAACTGATGAATAATTTACCTTGTGGCTTATTTCCTTTTCCTGAATTCTTTCCTAATCAGATGTACATTATGTAATTATTTTCCTTGTTTAAAATTTCTGAACAAAATAGATATTCTGATGTATCTCAGAGATAATTATCAAATATTTTTCTCCCAAATATTTAACATTCATTTATCCATTAGTAGGACAAAGATTACTGATGTTTTCTCTGTGTTTTTATTTTCTCAGACTTGCTCACTGTAACATTTTGAAAATTCAGTTTATTTACTTTTAGGTTTTCTTATTTAAAAGGAAAACAGAGGAAGATATAAATGACTTGCATGTAGACTCAGATTCTTTTAACTCTCTCTCTCTCTCTCTCTCTATATATATATATATATATTTTTTAATTTTATTTATTTATTTATTTATTTATATTTTTATTTTTTTTATTGTTGGTCGTTCAAAACATTACACAGTTCTTAATACATCATCTTTCACAGTTTGATTCAAGTGGGTTATGAACTCCCAACTTTACCCTGTATACAGATTGCTGTATCACATCAGTTGCCCTTCCATTGATTGACATATTGCTTTTCTAGTGTCTGATGTATTCTGCTGTCAGTCCTATTCTCTACTATCCCCCCTCCCCTCCCCTTTTCTCTCTCTACCCCTTCTACTGTAAATCATTTCTTCCATTTGTATTATCTTGTCTTACCCCTCCTTTCCTCTTATATATCAT